ACATACTCATTTCTCCTTATAATCCAACACGTTCAATTACAAATTCCTCTATATTAAAGTTCAATACTGATCGTACAAACATCCTGAATTTAATCAAAATGAATATTTTATACAGTCTTTCATCTCCCGAATAAAATGAAATAATTTCGTTCTCCCAAAATGTACATAAAAAAAGTCATTCTCACTTTAGGTCTTTTTTTTACTGATAAATCTAGTTAAAAATTAATTATATTTAACAAAGCAATAATTATTGTTGAGGGGTTATATTAAATAAATAACTCGTGTGGAGTAAGCTAGGTAAATAATTGCACAAATAAGTGCACTTTTATACCTGGGGTGTTCGCAGGCATCTCCAAACCATATTTTTCGTACGTGTCAACAACGTGTTTGAACAATTATTTATCTCTTGAATTAAACTTTCTAATATGTCAAGTAAAAAATCCATTGAAATCACTTTGAATAGAACCTTGTTACACACGCTTTGAAAGAAACCCATCGAATTGCAATAGATTAGAAAATCCCTTTAATTAGGGTCAGCTTGCGAGCGTCTCTTCTTCCTTTGCGACGAAGTCTCGGCTTTCGATCCCATCGCAATAAAATCCTAGTTACGTGTCTGGCTGCGGGTTCGCGTTATTATAACCAGCCTGGCGATTAATCATCGAGCACGAGCTTCCTATTGTCCTGACACGGGTGTTGCATTGTGCGCCCCGAGCCAGCAGCTGACTTACGTGGGACAACGGAATATAACTATCACGGCGTTGTCCATCGGATTCTTATCGGTGACTAATCTGTGCTCCAATGTATCTATCTTTCTACCGTTCAAACGATCGCGCCACGCCGCTAATTCTCCTCTCGATGCGTCGTTGACGCAACTGCAACCGTTTAATTCGCGCTCTCGTGACCGCGATTGTCTCTGGAGAAATAAATCCCTTCGAAGAGATAATCTTGTCTAGGAAACAGAAAAGTTTTCCAAGTCCTTAGGGTAAAGAAGCTTTCTGCCTTGAATTTTTCGTTATTGATTAGCCGCTTTGATACGGTAACTGCCACCGACGCAGCATGTGCGTTTTCTATTTCTCGAATCCACGATTTGTAGATCTGTGGCGTCACTGGTCAATGACCAACACGGTCACTGCCACTGACGCAGCATACGCGGTCCAGAATACATCTCCTCAATGAGTTATCGATTTTTTTCTATTTTTCTTTTAAGTGTACTGTACTTACTCGTGAAATTAATACGATTCTTAAGAAGAATTTTAATTTGGAAGGCAGTCGGTGTAGGATAAGATGCTCAGAAGCACTTTGGAATATTGTTCAATCACTCGGATAGGATATAAATGAAATTCTATTAAACGAAGGAAAGAGCGACGGTTTGTAATTTCATCGCGAACGTTGGGAACGAAAATCTCCCGAAGGATAGGAGAATTGACCTCGGCTACCAAACTAGGCACCACTTCGCGGCCGCGTTACCTCGAGATCTCTCGACATTAAATGCATCTCGTTCGTCGATCCTCGCAGCGGGAATTGCAATCGATATCGTCTTACGATAGCGTCGTTGAGCGCGCCACGTATCGTTGGTAATCCCGTGCAAATTGAATTTACAGTTAGTTAAAGATAATTCCAAGTCCAATTTCAACGTGTAAGAGAATGGGATTAAAGGAGGCTGCGACGAAACGCGTTCGAGCCGCGAAACGAGTACGAACGAAGTGGCTCTCGTTGAACGTGGAAGGAAGAAGGATTACGACGATTCGACGAAGGAGCAATTGAAGACGTGAGAATGGGATGCAAGTAAAGACGAAATTGCACGGTTTATAGGAGAAACAGGAAATTAAAGGGAACGTACCGCGCGTATTGGAAGATTCAGAGTGATCTAGCGATGAAATAATTGAACAGGTCTTTCTGATTTTCGTATCACAGAAAAAGGAAAAATCCCATTTTCGTAAATTCTCGTGTCTTCAATTTCTCAGTTAACCCTTTCACTGCTATTGGCATTTGAACATTTTCTCGCATTGTACTGTTGGTGACTTTTGGTACATTTTCGCTTTAATTCAATCCCTCGAGTACTCTCGCTTTAATTTAATAAAAGAAATTTAAAAATGATGAATTTAGAATTTTTTGAAATTTCGAAACGAAAGATTTTGCCGATATTCTGCCGCAGTGAAAGGGTTAAGTAGAAAAGCAAACTAAACGTGCATGTGTATCAGCAAACTCAGAGAGATCTAATGACGGAATGAGTAAACAGATCTCTCTGATTTCCATACCATTCGATAAAGAGAAAAGTAGAGATTCGTAAATTACAGGAAAATCCTATTTTCCTGAATTTCATCTTTAACAGATTGTCATTCTCATGCCTTCAATTTCTCAGTTTCAGAGTTCCGTAGATCTTTTCGCGTTGCATCCAAATTAAATTCTCTCCTTAAAATAAACGCGTGAAGTATTATTCGCCCAATTGATAGAGATCCATAAACAAAAAATTCCACTTTGGTAAATTCCATCTTCACCTAGTTTTCATTCTCCAATCTCTTCGATTTCACCGTTTCGTCGAGAGTTCTCTGGATCAGTTCGCGTTCGCCGGCGCATTAACAGGAACGCGTGCACGAATATTATTCGCCCGTTTGATTAATGATAGACGCGCGTATCAGCGTCCCGGTATCTCAGCCACGGGATCAGAATTCGACCCAGCCGCGAGTAGGTTTAATCAAGCTTTTCATTACGCGAGCCGGAGCGAGCACATGTGCTCGCTTGATAGATCGCCTGAACGTCGAAGGTGATGCGATCTTTTGGTCCTCGCTATCAACTATGAAACGTGAGTCAGTCGGAATCGTCCTCGGCTCGTGTAAACTCAGATTCCACCGACACAGCCGTCGAATATAACCCAACGTTTCACGTGAGAAAGACGAAGCAGAACCGTGCAAAATGAAAATGTTCACCGTGAAAAAGCGAGAAACTCGACGACGAGCACTGGAAAGAATAACGCGTGAAATCGACGCGAGTCCTCGGCTACTACTCGTAACAATTGTAAAATTGCAATGTGAATCCTGGCTACGGGCACGGATGGTGATAGTGATTGATGAACCTGGCACAAATAGAGATTCTGCATTTTTATTTCGCCTCATTGTCGGGGATATTGGCTTCTTGTGGTGTTTCACTTAGCGATTCGAAAGCGCTTGATGGATTGAAGTTTCACACCTCTCATGCTGCGTGAAAATTGGCGAAGCTTTGAGAATAAGTGAAAAACTCGCTATAGAACTTTGCACTTGTTGGGAAATATCGATTGGGAAATGGATCGTCTACTTTTGAAATTTTGCAGAAAAATATTAACGATTTTAAGAAACACTACACTCTGATAAGGGAACCACTGATTTCAAATTAAAAAACGAAAGATATTAGTGCCAATTGACAATTTCGAAATTTTCACCAAAGACAGTGAAAAAAGTGGAAAATTGGATAGCACGTGTATGCAAAGTGATAGGTTCATCGCAGCTCGTAGCTCGTGTAATCCGATAAACGTTCCTTCCAGGACGTACTAACCGACACGGTATTAAAATCAGCAACACCGGTTACACGTGAATTTCATGTTTCCACGTTAGTGCCGCGATACGTAAGGTCCTCGTTACAACTCTAGCCGGCAGCTAGACACTATATCATCATTAACCGGGGCGAGTTCCCCCTCGCGCGGCGTTATTATCGCTTACATAACCTTTTTAACTATTCCAAATCGGTTCCATTACGGCGGCGGCTCGGTGTCGTGAAACCGTGGCAAGCCACCGATCGGCAAACGCGTCCATAAGATTAGCTAGAACGAGCGAGTAGAAAAGTCGAACAAGTGTCGTACAAACTGAACAGGTTTCTAAACCGGTGATCGAGGTTAATTGACCCTTGTCTACGGCGAAGATCAGCCCATAAATTAGAAGCATCACTTTCTATGGCCAGTCGTACGGTGCGAAATAATTGGAAAAAGAGTAAGCCCCGGTTCGTATGATTTTTTTCATTTTTATCACCAGCCAGCCTGGTGTGTGTCCTTCTTTGCCAAGTCGACGTCGTAACTTCTTCATTATGGGCAATTTTATGCGCGGACGATTTAAACACCTACCACCTGTTCGGCGAAACGAGCAAGTTCCATTTCACCGTGTGCGTCGAGATTTATCAGTAAATGGTAGCCGAAGAGATACAACTGGAAAGCTCCTTTCCTTTCGCGGAATAAGAGGTTAAGCTGCAGAACCGTAGGAAACTGCGTTTGTCGGCTGTTATTAGCTCTTCGACGTTTACGTTACAATCTACGCTCGATTGTGATTTCGTTAGCTGACATTTCAGTTCGACGTTCAACTAGGCGCTCTGTGATTAAGTTGCGAGACGCACCGTTTCTCGAGAACGGTATTAATATCGCTTTCTAACAGTTGCCGTAACATAATCGAGCGAAACGAGCTTGGAGGGAATCGTAATGCCAATGTCGATCCCATCAGCTACTACTACGGGTATTACACCACTCTACGCGTTTCCCTTTCGTTCCGATACCGCTGTTGTGTCGGTCGTTTTGCTCTACCCTTTGATCCTAGCGATTCAGCCTCTCTTCGGCGAGAGATTTGTAATTAAAATTCGACTGACAATAATGAAGTAAAGATTTTTGCCATTTTCCATAAGAAAACTTGTTTTTATTCGGAATAATTATTATCTTCGGACAATTTTGGAGAAAAACACCTTCGCTCTCCTTAACCTTTCACCTTTTCGGTGACACTGACACGTATGTGTTTAATTTTTCCGAAAATTCCAACATTTGTGATAGGGAAAATGTGGAAAACATAATCTCCCAACTTTAAAAATTCGTCCCTGAAGAGGTTGAAAGGTTATCAGCCTCCTTGAAACTTTCAGGAATTTTTTAAAAATTTCGTTACTTCAGTGTTGAGTAAAAGTTATTTGGAAGAACGAATAACATTATTATTATATTAAATAAACGTGAGACACGCGTCCACTAACAATTCTTCTCTCTGTTTTCTCCCGAACAGGAAGAGATCGGTGAAATCATCGAGTCAGCACCGTCGACTCCCCTGATCGTTACAGACGAGCCAAAGTATCCCACGCAACCTGCACCGGTGCAAACTCCCAGCTACGCGACCGAGCTCTACAACGTGAAATCGTTACCCGCGAAAAGCTGCACGTTCAGACGACAGAACTCGGCGACTAGCAGGGGCAACAACGCCGGCGAGGACATCGGCGATTGGTCGAAGAGCATCCTCGCTGAGTTCAACACGATCATCGCGAACGAGATCAACGAGCTGACGAAAGAGCTCGAGCGGAAGAGGAACAAGGAAGAGCTGAGGATCGTGCAGTACAAGGAGCTGTTGAACGAGTTCGGGATATCGGACAGCGAGAGTTCCGCTGGAAGCTCGTGCGAGGCGAGCACCGATCGATCATCGTCCCGACGGAACAAGGAGAGCCGTGATCGACGAAATGGAAAGTTGTTCAACGACGAGACAGGCTATTGCTTCCTGTTGAGCTCCGACTACGACGAGCCGCGGGATCGTGTTGTTTCCGTGGAAAACAGCCGGAGAAAGAGCGGAAGCCTGCCGGAGAATCTCCAAGACATCATCCCCAGACGCGAGAGATACGTTCACAGCGGCGATACATTGAATTCCGATTACGACGAGCCGAATAGCTGTTCGATGAGCTTTACGGAAGATCACGTGCAGATCGATCGGAACACTTCTAGTCTACCGTCGAAACTTGATCGCGGACACGTGGAGGAGGAAGAAGATAGCTCGCGCGCAAAGTACCTCGAAAACAGTTACGACCAACCAAAGAAACACATAGAGATAAGTTCGAAGACCAATGAAGACGTTGACGACGACAAGGTGGCCGGTTCAGAGCAGATCGGCTCGAGTAACCTCACGGTCGACGGGTCGAACGCGAAATTACCACCGAGACAGCAACGCATGGACGCCCACAGGAAGACGAGTCTTCCGGTGAATCTGATGAGCCAGAAGAGACGACGAGTGCCGAGGCTGGCGAGGATTCGACGTAACGACGATCAGAACGCGATGGATCCTGACTACGACCTGGACGAGGACAAGATTTCGTGCGGTGCGAGGTCGTTGGACGGTAACGGGCCGATATCGGCGCCGGTCACGCCGACGGAGGAGAAGAAATCACCGTTCCCGAAGTTTCTCTGGAAGAAACACACGCCTGTGTTTCACGAGAGCAGGGAGGATGTTGTTCTCGTCAGAGTGTCCTCGTTGCCCGATCAGGATTTCCTTCGTCTGGAGAACGAGACGCAGAAGAACGGACGAGTCGGTTCGAAGGAAGGATTGTCGAAGAAGAGAGCTGTCTCGCCGTTGACTTTACGCTCGGATATATCGGCGAAGAGGCTGTCGGAGTCTGATAAGGACGTGAGACAGGTCAGTCCTGTGGATTTGAAAAAGTTCTCGCTTTCGAGATCGAGAGGCAACGACGTGGGTGTCAGCTGCGATCTTCCGGAGGATGACAATCCTGGTTCCATTGGTAGCGTTGACAGCGGGAAGTTCGACAGGATGGAGAACGTGGACGTGAAGAAGATTATGGACGAGCAGAATTCGAGATCTGGTTCGGTGAGTGTTTATGAGTTTTCTTTTTCATTTTTTAAAGGATTCGTTTCTGATACCTTAGACTTCGATATGCGTTACATCTACCTTTTTCCTTCGTTGAGAAGCTACGATGTAGTTTAATTTTCATGGGGGAAAGGAAGCTTGATTCACATTTTCTTTGGGTGTTTGCAAATTTTCTTGAACTCAGTATCAAATATTATTATATTTCAAATATTGATCTGCTAGGTAGTTTTATTTGCGAGTCTATTGTCAGATTTGAAGCGAAATGCTCTTCGTATTTCTTTTATATTACCAGGGAGAGTTCGATGAAAATCTTGCTGACTTGCAAAGCAATTTCAAAGCTTTCGTTTGATTAGTTAGAACGATCAAATTCTTCGAATTTTCAACGAATTTCAATTATGCTTGTCGCTTTAACAAACACAAATTGCACGAAGACAGCACGTTACTAACAACAAGATCGAATCTGTTCTCGTAGTAACGAAGTGAAATACTTTCAGCTACCGATTTCTCTTCAATCCCTCTTATCGAAGATCCGAAACGGCTCCGGCTCGTGCTGCCCGAACAGTCCGCCGATAGATTCGCTTACTTGTTCCGACATGGGGACGCAAACTTCGCCAGCTATTTCGAGAAGTTCCAGCTTCACATGGGTCAGTGATTGCGACTCTCCACGAGGTAACTCTCACGACTATTCGAGCGTTCTTAAAACTTTAGCCGTTTCATGTCTGTCGGTACTTGAATATCCACTTCTCTCCGTATTTTAGTAGCCAATTTAACGAAACAAAGGTATCGCGTTCTACTTACCTTTTTATATTCAATCAGCATTATTGCTGTAACGCAGAATTTGCATTCCGAGGAAAATTTCATTTATCGATCCAAAATCGCAAATCTATTATTTCCGCAAAAAGCGTTCACGCAAATGTCGAGAAATTTCAGGAAAATTTGCACAGATTGTCGAAACTTTGTATAAAAATTCCACAGACTCGTGGTTCGTCGGATACTTTCGACGATCGATTTGCGGAAATAATACGAAGCGCTGAAAGATCGATCGTCGGACAGGAGCGTATTATTCTCGTCTGAAAATGAATGTTCGCAGCGGAATCGCAGATGGATTCTCAGTCGTTGCAAGACGAGAGCACGTTGGATCCAGCCTCGCCGCAAGACACCGTGGACGACGACAATAGATCGTCGTCTTCTTCGCAGGATCTTCTGCAGAGCATGGACGAGATTTCCTCCGGAAGCCTGTCGCCGGATACGACCGACAGAGCATCTCCTCTCGAAAGCGGTATCGGCACGGCCAGCCCTCCTAGAAGCACCGACCGGCGGATAGTTAAGCGTAAGTCGATTATCGTTTCTTCGAACGGAGTTACTACGTGTCCCGCATTTCCCTCGAGAACATCGCTCTCTTAACCGTTTAACCGTGCAATTTGGAATGTTTCACGAACGACTTCTACCTCGCGACACTTTACACCGATTGTGTTCTTCTAAAAATTCTCCATTCAACGGGGTGTTGGATGCGTGAAGTTATGGTGGATTGATAGTTGTTGGTGGTTTGATGATAATTGTAATATGGAATAAAGGAGATCGTTTTAGTGGTGAAGTTGCGAAACTGCGAAAGCTTAATTTTTCAGGAAAGAAGAAAATTATTTTGTCAATTCGTGTCAAATTATCTTTATATGTATTTAGATCAGATTCACGGAAATTGCAGTTTCGAAGATTTGAATTTCGATCACTTTTGGCAAGTTCCTATTAAATTTCATGTATAAAAATTGAAATGTATATTCGGAGGATACTTTTAACACTTCAATCGATGTATTTATATAATAACATACGAACACAGTTGTAATTAAAGAACACTTATGTATGTTTAAGTATCCCCACTAATCACTCGTTCCCACTTACAGAAAAGCTTAATCCGAACTTTCTTACCTCTTAATTTACCCGCTAACAGTTCCGAGCGCAAATATGGAAGTAGCCAATCTAAATTAACCATCCATCAGAATCATGCTCTCGAACTATTCGAATCTTCTCATTTTATCTAACATTAATCAAGATATTTCTGTACCTATAAACCTCTGCTCGATTTAGAACCACGATTCCCTCGATCCTCTATTTTCCTCGATCTCGAAACGCAAATAGAGCTATCTATCATATTTCCAATCGTTCGCAAATTGACCGAACGAGTGATTACCGAAAAATTCTCCTAAATCCTGCTTGCAATATTCCCGAATCACCGAAACATTTCGCCGCGTCGCCGCATCATCAAAGTGACATCTTCTCCTCGCAGCCCCGTCGTCTAACAAATGTCATCGCAAGGAAACCTGGGAGAGGATCAGGCGTCGACCGTCCAAGTTGAGCTCGCGGAACGACAAACACTCGCAAGACGTATGGATCAAACGTGAGAGCGTGCACACGCAAACGAAGGAGAACGAGGACCAGTACTCGCAGGAGGCGGTGGACAGCAGCAGCGGCCTCGACGACACCCTGCCGAGGATCAAGCCGCTTCGACCGACCAATTTGCCTCTGTGTGAGTTTCATTAACGTGCAACGACGCGTGGACGTGCTAATCGCGCCTCTAAACACGTCGCGCGTTCAAGGAACATGCAAATTGCACGGCGCGAATGCCGCTCGTGTTTTCGAGGGGACAATATTTTCCAAAGGCCTGTCCATTTGCAAAGCAATTAACCGATCCGCGGCTGTTCCGTCGCGAAGGGAAAATCCTTTGCCGTTGCCGTGGACAAAAGTTTTCATGGGTATCGACGTGTTACACCCTCGGAGAGCGGATGGAAATGGGTGGGACGTATGCGTGCGAATTCTTCTGTGTGGCGTAATTAAGAAAAGATAGAGGGATGTGTTATGCTTACGTGGGACGAGTGAATGAGACGTGCTGTTTCGTAATTTTATGAAAACGTATCAACGATATTTCTCTGTTTTTTTTTTGTTTGTTTTTTTATTGTTGATGGAGTGAGATTTGTTTCAATCGTTAAGTATTATGGTTGTACTAGAGTACGATTTTGTGCGATGTAGAGGGAGTTGATAGTTGATGGCAAAGTACTTATACGAAGAAATTTATCGCATGTGATCTTCCTTGGAAAGGTGAACATTATTTTGGCAATCCCAACGCTCTAATTTTCACAATTGTATTATGTTATTTTTGCAATTTGAAATTGCCTTTATCTTAAGATTCATCGATGAAATTTCAGTGATTTGAGAGTTTGAAACGATGCGAATTGAGAATAAGAATTCTAAATTTTCAAAATGTTAAGAATTTGCCAAACTAACGTAGGGTTAATGGTGTATCGATGGGTGGAACATGCAGATTAGCGGTATCTCGACTGTTTGATCGCGGTGCAGTGCGTAACACGTTTAATCGTCTTGTCGATAGGCTTGTCCACCACCGCGAGTAGTTCGCTGAGCTCTGGAGAACTATTGGAGACGCCTCCACGAGCACCCTCTTCCCCTTCCGCGGCGAGTCTTCAGCTGAAACCGGAACCGCTCAGCGTGGAGATGGGCGGGAAGAGCAGCAGCGCACCTCTGTTGGAGAATAACGACGCGGAAAAGGCGAACGGGACGGTGCCGGTAAGTATCTCTCTATCGTTTTCTTTGCTTAATTTATTCAGTTATTTGTTTTAGGAATTTTCAGGAATTCTCTTAGTTCATTTTTATCCTATTACCGACTGTAAGTACGTTAGTTAAGGTGACCCACGTAACGTGACCACCTCTATTATTTTTCAAAATTTCTTGGTCACAGATTTTAAATCACTTTCAAAGTGACGACATTCAATTTTTTCAAATAAATTTTCATCACCTTCAACTTTTTTATTAGGAGAATTAAAACATAGTCACTTGTTCCCCTTCTAACTGCAATGCTCTTCCAAATTGTTAAAATCAAAATTTCACTACCATAATCAACATTCTTCAGCCATTTGAAACCTTCTGTAAAGCGTGACACAGGAACACGAGTTCATTGAGAAACAGTTTGCTTCGTCCTCCCGCGGTCGATTCGAGGCTGACTTGATCGATCGACGGGAACGTATCAATGATAAATAACCGCGTTCGACCGGATAGACTGACAACTGTCCAGGTTTACGTACGAGGTTATACCGGCTGCGTGTCCCCATCCGAGATATTTCTTTAAATATCGATAACAAGGCCCGAGCACGAGCGCCGGTAAGTAGGAGAAGTAAGTTCGGGGTTTAGCCAAGGAGAGTATCGTCCTAGCTTCAATAGGGAGCATTAATCACGTGGCAGTAAAGCGTGTATGGCATTTGGCATCGAGATTACCAAGCGGAGATACGTTCCTTGGACTGTTACTTGGTTCGGTGATCCGCGCTTATGGGCCACCATTAGTCTCTGCCCACGTGAAGCGTGTACATTGCGTGGCATTGACCATCGCGAACACGGTATTTGTATTTTACTCTTGGGTTGTAGGCACCGCATGTGCAGCCCGTGTGGGCCGGCTGGGGCCATCGTAAGATTGACACTTTGTTGGCACGATGAACCTTAATTTCCCTTTCATGACAGGTATCTCCACCTGCTACGAGGCAAGGCGAGTCGAATATCTTGCAAATTAACCGATTCGCGCTGAATTGAATCGGTAAAACGAGCCTTGCTCTTTTGCGCCGCTTTTCTCTCTCCATCTACGTATCTTTCTTTCTCTTTGCACCTTTGTTGACCCGTTTCTCGCAGTGTACGCGTCTTGCCTTTGTGCAACGTCCTCCATGATCGCCTTTTTAGCCAGTTTCGACACGCGAAAAAACGGTATTTCGGATTTGAGAAGAATCGTAACCTGTCGATGCAGCGATCGAAACGGAGATATTGGGAGGCTTTCGTGTTGATTAACGACTAGAGGCGATTTTTAGTTAGCGATTGGAAATTTATTTTAGAGTTACGTTTAAACCAGTTAAATGCAAACGTTGGAATAAATTGGACTGTAAATTTTCACTAAAAAGGAACGTTCATTTTCATCGTGACAATCGTATTTAACTTTGAAAATTATGCCAAGCAAAGTGATTCTTCTCTCCGCCGTAGTTTCATCCTTCCAAATCTCTCCTTTCTTTCAGAACACCGTATTAAATTCATTTCATTTCCAAACTACATTTTTCACCAATAATTTTGCCTATTTCCTCCAAATTATTCGAGGCATCTTCCTCGACAACGTACCACAGCACGACAGAGCACGAACTTTTCTTACTTTCTGGAAAATGCTCGAACCGAGGAAATTTCATTGGGCGAGGTACAGCTGAAGCGCCGGAAGTGAGGCAAATTACAATTACAAGTTCGTAACTGGAAGTTTCTCGCGGGCATTGAAACAAGAAGGTATCGAACGAGATTAACGTGGACGATGCGACGTTTATCAGGGAACGATCGATGTTACCGATGCTTGTCGTAAAATTGAAACTGTGTTAGTCGGATGGAGATCTTAAATTTCCCCTTCGCAGCGGGGTCCTCTCGTCCCCTTCTGTTATATACTCGATATCTCCACAGTGGATCGGATTTTCTTTAATGCATCACGTACACGCGTTGCTCGCACGATGATTCTACAATTGATATTTCGTGAGCATGATGAGCTTAATTCCCCTCACGACGGGTATCTCCACCTACTCCGCGGATCATCGATGTTGTGTATCTTTCGAACGAGTCGCACGATTACAGATAGATCGTCGATAGCCGTGTAGTTCTTTATTTTTAGGTTCGATCCCGTGGAAATTTTTATCCAAACTCTCTGTCACTCCTAATCTTCCGGCATTGCAATCGAACCGGTAGAATATGTTCTTTTGTTCCCTTTGTTTCTTTCCTATTAGATTCGTCGGTGATTGAGCGACGGTCCGGGCGGTTTAATAGCTTGTAAGATTTTGTGAGAGATTTTAAAAATTCAAAAGAGAATCAATTATAATTAGTATTTACTTTGCATTTTTCTTTTCGGTTTAATAATAAAATGAAGTCATATACGTTTTTAAATGGAAGGAATTTTAATTATTGTTTGACTTGTTTTTCTTCCTTTTGGGTAGGGTTTTAAATGAAATTTAAAGTCACATCTCTTAAAGAAGCGAGTGCAATTTCTATTCGGAAAAAAGAGGAAAAGCGGAGCGAATAGAGGGATCGATAACTGTTAGAAGTGGTCGCTAATTTTAGACTCTTCGTCGGCAATTTTCACAGTTAATTAGTCGGTTGCAGTTTCCGTAGTCTCTTTTCACACTGGAGATTAATCGTACTTTGTTAGTCGTCGGTCTTTTCGCTTTTATTTAGGTAGCTAGAAAAAGGCAACTCCCCTCTACTCTACCCTGCATAAATTCCATTTTAGTTCACATTAAAATTCCTCCAATCCTCTTCAAACTATTTACCTATCTAGCTTTTTTTCTGTGTTCAAAAGTGTGACACGCTTGTTAAAGGAGTTATTCGAGAATTAAATTCTCGAGTTCTTGCTCAGAATTTGGTTAATTAAAATTGCTCACTGAAACAAAGAAAATTGTGAATAAACGAATCAAATCTAATTTATAACACGAAAATTCAAAGACACGAAAATACACAGAGTGCACGTAATGAGCGAAAATTTGCAAATAAACCAGAAATATAGTACTTACTATAATATTCAGCAAATAAAAAAATTTGCCTATCTAGCTTCTATTTTCTAAATTACATTCACGAAAATATGCACGCAATCTACTCGTCAAGCATAGATCGCCAATTATTTATCATCGTCCACGCGAGGCAAAACGTGGCTCAGAGTGTCCCAGGGGATGCGATAAATTCTCGTTCGTTGACGCTCTACGGGCAAATAGCGTGAGGCAGCTCTATATTTATCCAAGGGTCCTCTTTGATATCAGTTCGCACCGTCTGCTGTCACGCCAGAGGATCGTGCAATCCCGGCGAAACGACGAGTCTCAGTTTCTTTCTCCGAACGTTTTCGAGTACAGCCACGTATTGAGTAATAGACAGCCAGAGAATTTATCGGGATTTCAGCACACGGCCCGTTTGCTAGCCACCGCCGCCGCTCTTAACCTCGTAACGTCCACGGTGGATATCCGGTGTACGTAAATTGCTCAAGGTCAGCCTCGGTGCTTTGATGCTAAAAACGACCCTTCTTCCCGCCGATGCACAACCGCGCCGATATTCTGTGTTTACCTCGGCCATTTTTCCCGCCTCAACCGCACACGATAAAATAACACACACGAATTTTTAGCCGAGGAACGTGGAAGTGTTCCGTTCGTGTCCCGTCGTCGATCTCGCGCCGGTATTTTCGACGCGTTCCTGCAATATTATCGTAGCATTCTGCATTGTTTTCGCTGGCTTCGTGAGTGGCCGAAGGAGAATGAGGAACGGTGTATCTTATGCGGGTGGTTCGAGCAGAAATTTTGCAGGGAAGTGAAATTCACGATTAGGGGATGTTTGAGGTATTGGGAGAATTGACTGAAAAGTAAAAGTGGTATTTCAATTTTTGTGAAATTTATGCACGATGTATTTAACGTGCATTCTTTTTATTCACTGAATTTCACATCGAGAGGGTGAAAATGATCGTTGAAGCTATACAGGGCGAAAAAGATATTGTAGAAACTATGCGGAAGAGTGCTTTTAGTGTCGCAGTTGTAAAAAGCTTTCAGAAAAATCCACTTGTCCAAATGACATATTAAATATTTGCAGTTTTGTGGAACATTTTTATAAAATAGTATATTTCCATTACTATGTGCATTTGCGAGCACGAACTGGAAGGAAATGTTACAAAATTGTGTAACTAAAGTTTTTCAATTTTTCGTATTATTTGAACAAGCCAAGTTTTCTGAAAAATATTTGCATAGCTGAATTTACCACTCCGAAACATGCAACGTTTTCACTTAAAACATTTCCCTACGCCCAAATGATTTTCGTCCTTATTTTCAGGGTCATTTTCACCCTCTGCATATCGACTATTCTCGATAACAAAATTAAAACAAGTCAAATATTCTTTTTAAGACTACAACGTACATAAATTTCATCAAAATCGTCGTTTGACACTTGAGCAACGTTTCTCGTTGGTGCAGAAAAGGGGAAAAATCAGGGGAATCGAAGGAGGTGCTACTTGAAATATCAGCGATCTCTCGATTTCTCGAATAATCATTTCCAGTCATGGCTAAAATTAATCCCGTCCGGCGCACTTGAAAAAACAGACTCGAAGCTTTCAGCTCCGTGGCTACAATTAATTTTCTATGAGCTGTCGTATCGCGGCACGCGCGTTGCTCAATTTTTCAAAGCGCGTTCGGTTCTTTGCTCGGCGTTCCTCACAGAGGAAGAATTAAAAAGCAGCGAAAGTTGCTTCGCGAGAGGAACCTTTCGGTGATTATTTTCCTTGCACCTTTGCAAAAACTTCGTACGACGAACCGTGTCGTAAATCAACCGACCCACCGTTCCTTTCAATTTTTATAGAGTTTTACGATATAAATACGCACCAGGTACGTGTGTATTGCAAAAGAAATATTTACACGCGTGGGAAAATAAATCATGTCGGCAGCCGGGGTTTATGGATTTGCACTATTCTGTTTGCCTCGACGTATTTTTCTACCTTTAAACGGAGAAAAAGATCGGCTTCGAAATTTGTAGCTGGCTCGCTGTTTTTTTCACACGCAATTCGTCGATCCGCCTGTGGTTTAACTGCATTCGGTGTCTATAAATCACGAGCGTGTACCATTGTTACGGGGCACGAACTATTAATCGACAGGAAT